CAGTCTGCATGATGGTCTTGGTTAATGTTCCATGTGCACTTGAAAAGAATATATATTCTGATAATGAAACAAGGAGTACTTTCAGCTCATTTTATAAGATCAGCATTACCTTACTTGAAACCAGAAAAAAAATGTTACAAAATAATTAAAAGTATAGATCCATCATAAATATAAATGCAAAAATTGTAAACAAAATTTAACAACTTGAATTCAAAAATATATTAAAAGTGTATTGTGTCATGACCAACTTGGTGGTGTTTATTCCAAAAATGCAGAGTTGGCTTAATATTTGAATGTCAATCAATATAATTATTTATATTAACAAAGTAAATTATCTTAATAGCCCACAACCAAGCAGAGTGAGTATGCAAATTAACCCAACAAAGATGGTGGTTAATTTGCACACATACCTAGGTGCAGGGAACCTCTTTGGCACCCAGGTCCTCCCAACCTGCCTTTGGAAAGGGGTCGAACCTGCAATTGGAGGTTCTTTGGGGCAGGGACCCTTTCCTAAGCCTAAAGCCTGAGTTGGAGGCTTTAGACTTGGGAAGGGGCGGAGCCTGCAGTCAGAGGTGTGTGTGTGCGCGCGCGCGTGCGCGCGCACGTGGTGTGGGGGGGAGGGGGAACCCCTTCCTAAGCATAAACCTGGGGTGATGGTTTTTGGCTTGGGAAGGGGCTGAGCTTGGGATTGGATGGAAGGGGAAAATATCAATGGAAACATATCCTCAGGTAAGGATAAAAAGAAAAATAAAGAAATGTCATATCCTATGAAAGACACATCTTGAAAATGCTTAAAGAAAGTTGTCATTTTTTTCATGGTGAAGGGACTGGAATTCATGTTGATGAAAATACCTTGGTGGCTGTGGTGACTGGTAGTGGCTGCAGCAGTGGGATGATGGGGCTGGTGCCTTCCCCTGTTCAACCTGGTCGTACTCAAGCAAAGGGAGGCCAGACTGCCCCTTAAGTCTGCTTCCAATGGGGAGCAGACTTAAGCCATCCATAGGACATCCCCTGAGGGCTCCCAGTATTCGAGAGGGGGCAGGCTAGGCTGAGGCACCCCTCCCCAGTGCACAAATTTCATGCACCGGGCCCCTAGTTTATTTTATAAAATGAAGCTTTTTATTTCTGGGAATACTCATGATGTCTACTTTGTCCAAAATTAATGTAACCACAAACAGGCTCACTGTTTACATGGTATATTTTTTCATCATTTTCATCCTGTCTGTCTTTTTATGTTTAAAGTGAATCTCTTCAGAACATATGGCTGGGTCTTCTTTTCTTAGCCATTTTGAAAAGCTCTGCCTTCTAATTGGTGTGTTAATTATTTATAATTTTTCTATTTGTTTTAAATGTCCTCTCCGTTTCCCCCCCCCCCCCCTTACTTTTCTGATCTCTCTCCCCACTCCCCCCCGCCAGTAATTATTTTTATATCTACCTTTGGACAGAACTCTAGCCTCACAGCAATGTGCTTGCATTTCCCTTCCCTTCCTGTGCTGTGTGTTTTTCTTATCATATACCTTCCTTACACATGTTATAACCCCCCAGTACAATATTGTTTTTTATTTACAAGACCAGTGCTCTAACCCCTGAGCTATGGAGCCTTACCCTGTTTTTTTATTTAAATTGCCAGTTGACTTTTAAATCATTTAAACACAAGAATGAAGATAGTCCTTTTTTAAAAAAAAATGATCTTTATTGTGGAAAGTTATACTGATGTACCCTTCCCTTCCCATGGACACTTTCTATTCTGCCCGCTCTCTCTACCCCAGGCCTTCACCACACTATTGTCTGTGTCTGTGGGTTATGCATATAAATTCTTTGGTTAGTCTCTTCCAACCCACTCACCGCTGCCTTCCCTCTGAGATTCAACAGTCTGTTCCATGTTTCTATGCTTCTGGATCTATTTTTCCTCCCCATCAGTTTATTTTGTTCTTTAGATTCCACATTTGAGTGAGATCATATGATACTTGTCTTTCTCTGACTGGCTATTTTTGCTTAGCATACTACTCTGTAGGTCCCTCCGTGCTGTCTCAAAGGTTAAGAGATTCTTCTTTTTTACTGCTGCATAGTATTCCATGTTGTAAATGTACCACAGCTTTTTTATCCACTCATCTACCGATAAGCACTTGGGTTGTTTCCAGATCTTAGCTATTGTAAATAACACAGCTATGAACATAGGGGTGCATGCATTCTTTTTGATTGGTGCTCTGGATTTCTTAGTATATATTCCTAGAAGTGGGATTACTGGGTCAAATGGCAGTTCCATATTTAATTTTTTGAGGAAACTTTTTACTGTTGTCCACAGTGGCTATACCACTCTGCATTCCTACCAGCAATGCACTAGCATTCCCTTTTCTCCACATCCTCACCAGCAATTGTCATTTGTTGATTTGCTGATGGTAGCCAGGTGTAAGGTGATTCAAGACAGTCTTTTATATCAACCCCTATAGTTATTATTTCCAGTTTTCTTTGTTCCTTTCTGTAGCTTCTAATTTTTATCTTGTATTTTCCCTTCAACCTGAGACATTTCTTCACTTTTCTTGTAATCTGGGTCTGCTGGTGGCAAAACTCAGATTTTATTTATTTGAAAATGTTCACACTTGGCTTTTCTTTTCTTTTTTTTTTTTTTTTTAATGTATTTTATTGATTTTTTACAGAGAGGAAGAGAGAGGGATAGAGAGTTAGAAACATCGACGAGAGAATCATCGATCAGCTGCCTCTTGCACACCCCCTACTGGAGATATGCCCACAACCAAGGTACATGCCCTTGACTGGAATCGAACCTGGGACCTTTCAGTCTGCAGGCTGATGCTCTATCCACTGAGCCAAACCGGTTTCGGCCACACTTGGCTTTTCATTTAAAATATGTTTAAAACTGGATACAGAACTATAAATTGATAGCTTTTTTTTCCTGTCAGCACTTCACATAGATGTTGCATTGTCCTCTGGCCTGAGAAGTTAGCTATCATTCTTATCTCTGGGTCCCTGTATGAAGTGTGCACTTTCTCTTCTGTTTTCTTATAAGAGTTTTCTCTTTATCTCTGTTAAGTCAGGAACTGTGAAATGACCTGAGATTTGATTTTCCTCTGCTAGTAAGTCAGCGAGTTGGCATGTCACAGTTTTTAGTTACTGGCAGAAGATGAGATAGTTTATGACTAATGGCAAAGCAGAGTAACCTGCATATAGGTTCCTGACTCCAATCCCCACAGGGTAATATGACTGGGGCCAGATGTTACCTGCACAAATAGTGAGCCATGTTACAACAGAGGAACCCCAATATTGAGAGGCCCTGATCTTACATAGGAAAATTTAAGAAACTCATCCATCTCCTATCTGGCAGGAAAAGATTGAGGTATCTCTTCATAACAGGATGGGGAGGAGGGGGGAGGAGAGACAGGTGAGGGCTAGAAGAGGTCAATGAGGGGGAGGGAGGGGACATATGCAATACTTTCAACAATAAATATTTAAAAATATGTAAAAAATGAAGACAGATATTTGCCTCCTTGGAGCAAGTTTATCTATATTCCACTTGTTTGTTTATTTTTAAAATAATGGTGACCATATTTCTGCTGACATTCCCTATCTCTTCACCCTATTATGTTCATCTTTTGCTGTAGGTTTTTAAACATCTTTATCATACCTTTCATTTTAAAAATATATATATTTTATTGATTTTTTACAGAGAGGAAGAGAGAGGAATAGAGAGGTAGAAACATCGACCAGCTGCCTCCTGCACACCTCCCACTGGGGATGTGCCTGCAACCATTTTACATGCACTTGACCGGAATTGAACCTGGGACCCTTCAGTCCGCAGACCGACGCTCTATCCACTAAGTCAAACTGATTTCGGCCATACCTTTCATTTTTAGTTCTTTATCCTCTGATTCCAATGTCTTGTCTATAGGTGTGATATTATGATATAAGAAATATATATTTGGTATTTGCTCCCGGTCCTGATACAGAGCTCCTAAAAACCCTTCTAAGTTCCTGAATGATGGGGTGATAGGAGCATCTTTTGTCCTAATGTTTGGGTTTGGCTTTATAGTAGACATAGTGAATAAATACACTGCAGATCTGCTGAGTCCTGTTATTTTCCTCTGAGGAGTGTCAGTGTGCTCCAGCCGAAAGTTAATGGCTGGGAGCCTGACCCTGGCTTTGCAGAGGTATCGTTTTAGGTTTGGGATAGACTTCTTGGGGTTTTGTCCTTAAGTCTAGGGACAGCGCTTAATGCTGAGGTGTAGCCTTCACTCTTTAAGTGTGGCCATTCTGAAGTCTCAGAGGACAACCCAAAGAGTTTACCAAGCTCCTCTAAAACGGCAGGATTTGAACCCCAATCTCCCCAGCAGCACTGCTTAAATGCTGTTTTCCTTTGGGTTGTTTAGACTCTCATTGGTTGTGTGTTCACCAGGAGGGAGGTGAGGATCCGAGGTCAGTGTGGGTGCGGATGGAGGGCTCTCTTCCGCCTATGGCTCCCTCCTTCCCAGGGTTTCCCCTCAGGGAACCCCTTCACCCTTGGCATCCCGCTGCTGCTCACCTCCCTGTCAGGATGCAATCTTTTGGAGTATGATTCATCGTACTCCACAATGTCCCGTCAGGGCCTCACGTGCATACAATAGGTGCACAATCAATGCTTATAGAGTGAACAAATGAATTGCTAATTAGTAATAGGGTTTCTGACCTGGCACCAGGGCCCCCATCTAACCAAGGTAGAGCAGCAGAGCTTCAGGTGACAGAGCAAGGCCTCTGAGTACTGACTGTCCGACTGCGCGCTTTGGGGATCGCCTGGTGGGGCGCGGGAGGTGTTGGGGAGAGCGCAGGGCGGGGATGGGAGCCTGCCAGAACCAGCCCGGCCCACGCCACCCCGCGCCGCTGCGGTCAGACCAGTCTGACGGCTACGCCCCTGGCTGCCCTCCCCGCCCCGCGCCCCGCCCTATCTCAAGTCCCGCCTTCCTCTCCTCTCCCCTCCCCGCCCCCGGCCGCCCCCGCTCCTGTGCCCAGGAACCAGTCCCTCCCTTGAGTGCACCCTTGGAGCTGGACCGCCCAGCCCACGAGGCCTCCGTACCTGGGCACCTGGGCACCTGGGCACCTGGCCATGGGACGCCCGGGCCGGCGGGCGGGCGGAGCAGGAGCCCGGCGGGAGATGGGTAAGGGCCTTGGGGAGGCAGACTGGAGGTCCCGCCGCCCCCGATGGGGACTGTGTGCGCTGCGCAGAGCGCCAGGCGGGGGCATCTGTTGGGCTGGGCAGGACACTGAGGGAGGGCCTGGGGCCGGAGCAGGAGCAGCCGGAAGAAGCTTCAGGAGTGTGGAAAGCGAGTGGGCACCTTCAGAATCTACTTGGTCGAGTGGCCGAGACAGGGACAGCAAGGGGACACGGCAGAGCGCCACTGGGAAAGCCTGCGGGCCTGGGTGCGGCCACCGGCTCCTCCAGCTGGGCCAGGTATATCAGGCTGAGCAGCAGCTGCCCTGGGCTGCTGTTAGAACTAGGAGACCCTGAGGGCTTTCCTCCATCTCCGTTTCCTCTATTGCCTCTATCCTGCTGTCCAGTGCCTCCCATGCCCTTGGCGCCCATGGCCAGGCCAGCCCTCTCCTCTGAGGCCCCTGGCCCTGCAGGCAGCCCCCAGGAGAGTGCTGGGTGGAGGATAAGCCAACTCTCCATTAGCCCTTCTGGGTGCATCTGGCCAGCGACACTGGAGAGATTCCTGGGAAGGTAAACAGCATCTGCTTTGCTGATAAACTCACCTCCCCTCCAGGGGCCCTTCCTGGCCCTAGAGCTGAGTCTAGCTGGTCCTTGCAGGAGAACCACGTGGCAGCGACTTGAGTTCCCTGCTGTTTCTCCAGGTGCACAATGGATTTTGCTGTTCTAGTCAGTGAACTCACGCAGACCCCGCATGTCTAGTTCAAGAGGCTAGTGTCAGCTGCCCTTGAACCTCATTAGCCTGGCTCTTCCCCAGTTCCATAGCTGATTGAATGTAATTAGCAACTAATTGGGTGCCTGTTAGCCTCTCAACATAAGAAACACCAAGATCAAGTGTAGGCAGTGGAGGTGCGATTCATTCTTTTCTTCCAGACATGGCATTTCTTCTGTGTGGAGGGTATGAAGAAGAGCTATTCATTCATTCATTCGTTCAACAAATATTGACTGCAAAAATGCAGCTGACCATGATTTCAGAGTGATAAGTGCTGTAAAAACAAAACAGGGTGGCGGCGGGCAGAGAACTTGGCTCTCAGCTGGAAAAGGCAGACCTGAGCTAGGAGGGAAAACAGCACCGTTTCAGGCCCAAAGCCCTGGGCACAGGGTGGGATGTCCTGGTTCCTGTGAGCAGGACTTAGGGGCTTCGTAACGGGTCAGTGATCAGTGGAGGGTAGATGAGTGGTGAGTTGTCCCTCTCTGAGCTCTGAGAGTGCATTCTTGTTGGGAGGTTTAGTCTGAGATTGAAGCTTCCCCAGAAAACATGCTCTGTGTCGCCTCATTGATTTGTCCATTCATTCAACAAGCACTCCTGAAGGCCCGGATGTTCTACGCACTGTTCCAGGTGTTAAGGATGCAGCAGTGAACCAGACAGCACTTTCCCTCACAGAGCTTATTTTCTGGTGGGAAAATGGCAATAAATAAGAATAGCAATTTTAATGTCAACTCAGATGAATCCTATGAAGAAAAGCAGAGAGCTTAAGGGTGGCGGGGTTGTGTTTAGTAGAGACATCAGGACAGGCAGTGCCTAGGGGATGAAATTTGAATGGAGTCCTGAATGTAGACAAGACACAGTCATGTGATTCTCTGGGGGAAGAACATTCCAGGCAGAGAGAATGGTGGCAAGTGCTAAGGCCCCTGAGGTGTGAAGGAGGTGTGAGTGAGCCTGCTGGCATGCTGACGTGCTGAGGAACAGGACAGAGGCCAGCAGGCCTCTCAGAGCCATTGCTTCAAGGTCGGGGTGCCGAGGGATCAGCCTGATGACCAGAGGCGCCCAAGAAAGCAGATGTTCCCAAACAAATCCAGGATGAGGCTTGGGACAGGAGGTTACTGGCGATGGAGAATGTGGATCTGGGCAGGAGGCGGATCACTTGCTTTTCGCACCCCCAGCTTTCACCCAAACATCACGGGCCACACAGATAACTAAACTGGGGAGCAGACCCAGCTTTTCAAATCAGTAAAGACTCCGGAAACTGGAAATGGAGATGGGGGTTGGGGAGGGGGTAGGGTGGAGAACTGTTGCCTTCTAGGAAAATTCCAATAATCTTTCCTTGTTGAACTAAGTGATCTCATCAGTTGGCTTACGAGGCAAACAGGGGAGTATGTAACAATGGCCGTTACTGAGCATGCACTGTGTGCCAGGCTCTCCTCTGAGCGCCTCATGTGCAGACACGCATCACTCTCACTGTGAATCTGTGCAGGGTGTACTCCCACTGCCCCTGTTTTCCAGATGAGAAAACTGAGGCCCAGAGAGTAAGACAGCTGCCCGTCTTGACACTGCTGGTGAGTGTGGAAGTCTGGGTTACAGCCGAGTGGTGCAGTTTTAGAGCCCCCTGCTTTGAGAGAGATGTTTGGCTGACCAGATGCTTGTCATAGTGGAGATGCTTGTCTTACCAGCAGGGTGGTTAGAGCAAGCATGTCAAACTTAGGCCGCATATGGGCCACAAAAATATTCATGTGGCCCAGCCCATGTAACCGTGTGAGTCGTTACTTACAATTATGAAAGGAAATAAGTCTCCTGTCAGATCCAGAATTACTGACACTCACCTTGGGTCAGTTTTGAAAGGAATCACTGCGAACAGAGTTCCCCCGAAGTAAGAAAGATAGCAGCAGAGAAGAGATGCCAAGTGTCAGGAAGAAAACATTAATTTTATCATTGCTCTTGTTCGTTCCTTCTTTTTATATTATGCTTTTCGAAATAAACCTACATTTCTATGAAAATTGAAGTTTTTTTTTTCCTTGTGGCCCACATAAACTTCAACCTTGTTTATTTGGGCCGAGTTAGCCTTTGAGTTTGACATGCTTGGGTTAGAGAGAGACAGGACGGCTATGAGCCCACTCCACCTCTTTCCTTCTTTTTAAGGCAATGTTGGCATGGGTTACATTTTCTTTAAAAATATTTTTAAAGGTAATACTTGCGTGTGATGAAAATATTTTTATAAATGTTAATCACACAGCCCTTCAGGTAGCAGCGAAAGACCTCCTTCCCTCCCTCTCCTGCCCTGTTGCCGGTTCTCCTTCAGTTTCTTGAGGGTACGTCTGGAGGGAGATATTCTGCTCATGAACAAGTACACGTAGTGTGTACACGCTGCCTCTTTGTCTTTTTTTTTTTTTTTTTTACATGAATTGTAATAATCTCAGGTCTGTAGTTTTTAAAACTTTAGTATACTAATTGTTCTGTGGCAGGACATACAAGGATCCTCCATTCTTGTTGACTATCTCTCAGAGAGGAGGCCCCACTTGTACCTACTGGTCTTTTCTGGGTTGTTTTACCTGTTTTTGTTGTTAGTTTGCAGTGACAGACAGTCACGTATGAACATACTTGTGCCTACATATCTACTCACTCTGTGTCCATTTCAGTAGAAGAAATTCCTAAACTTGGACTCACTGGTTGAAAAGCCTGTGTGTTTAGATTTTGGCAATGCTGCCAGCCCGCCAGGCTTAGCTCTGAGACTGTTTCTTCGCAGCTCCATCAGTCGGTATGTTAGCAACTTTCTGTTCTTGCTAATTTTACAGGGAAAAAATGGCATCATGTTGTGGTTTAATAGGGGTTTCCTTGTGAGTTGTGTTGTGAGTCTCTCATATGTTTTACGCTATTTGTCTTTCTCTTTCTGTGGACTGTTCATATCCTTGGCCTGTGGTCTAACTTGGATTGTTGTCTTGTATTTTTGTTATTGTGTTATAATCTCTCATCTCTACTTCCACTGGCTGCCCTCACCACCTTCCCCTACCCTCGAGAGCAGCAGCTGCTGTGATGTATTCATATGTTTATCCTTAGATCTGGGTGTATTTTAGAGAAAATACGATGTTGATTTATGTGTACATGTGTTTTAAACTACATATACTGCATTGTGCCACAAATATGACCTTTTTACTTCTTAAATCTGATACTGAATTTTTAGAAAGATGAATGACCAGCATGTGAGTTCCATGATTGGAATTATTGTGGAATCATTGTAAGTGCGGATTCTTCTTGGCTGCATGTAGGAAGGTGGTTTGGAGAAATGGCATTTTGGGCGTGTGCCTTGGAGGATAAAGAGATGTTGACAGATGAGCAGGAGGATGGGGAAGGGAACAGAACTGAGCAAGAGGCAGCATAGGACACGCTGATTTGTGAAAGTCCTGGGAACATTCAGGGAAGCCCCAAAGGCTACTGGCCTAGAGTTCAGGGTGTGGGTGTGTGGCCCCAGGAGAGGCTGGGGGTTTCAAATGACAAGGCTGGGCTTTCCCTAAAGGCCACAGGGTGAGGCGGTGGGGTGGGAGTCAGTTGTTAAGGATTTCAAGAGCAGAAGTGAATGTGAGAGGAGGGAGGCTGCAGACAGGAGAGGATCGGGCTCTGTGTGAGGGTGGAGCAGCTGCGGAGGGAGAACCAGAGGCCTGGGCACCGGAGGAGGCATGAGGGGCCGAGGCTGGTGTCAGGGCTGCTCACTTGTGAAGCCAGGAGGACGTGGTGTCACAGGCAGGACCCAGGAGGGTTAGGCTGGGCCCAGGGTTCACTCCTGGGCACATGACCTTTTTGACAGCTGTGAGCCACACTGTCACCTTTAAAGGCCTACTCACCCTGCCGGAGCCTCCCCGTTGGCAGTGAGAGCTCCTTCAAGCTGGGGAGGGTTTGTGACGGCTCAGTGAGTAGGTGGGAGGTGACGGTGTGGGAGTGGGTGAGGCCGCCAGGGAGAGTGAGGAAGGCAGGAGAGAGCCCGGGGCAGGCAGGAAGGCAGGGAGAAGTATGCTGGGAGAAGTGGACAGACAGGCCCAGCCAGCCAGGGAGCTGGGTGCACTTTCGAACTCTGTCCTTTGCCGGCCAGACAAGCTTGGGACAGCATCCTCTCAGGAGGGAGCGTGGGCAAGGGTCGGGGCTTGGGGACAGTTATAAACAAGGAGCCCAAGAAGGGGGTCCCTGCATCTCTCAGTGGAGCTTTGGAAGGTGCATAGGCATGCGGAGGCAGACAGGAGGGA